GTGAGGATTAAAGTAATGGAGTTGCAAAAAAATATCGTATTGATGGTAATATCGTATTGAGCGTCGGCACTCGCCTGCGGCGAGTGTCAGCGCAGCTGACTTAGCTTAATAAGCTAAGCCTTGGCACGGATATCCCGTCTCTCCCCACCCACAGACCATCTTTGTTCTCCACCCTCAACTCCCTTGTTCATTCAAGCTTCGCAATTGCTTGAACACTCGGCGCAACATGGCGCGTCGCTCTGCTCGTCTTTTGAAGGTATGCATCTCTATCCTGATGTTGCCCCTAGGCTGTTTGTTTACATCTGCTGACCTGTTCTCCTTCCATAGCGCGAGGCCACGCCTGATGGCTCAACAAAGCCCAACGACAGCCGGCACAACGCGTCCCCTGCAGACCTAGGACTTCCAGATCTCCCTGAGCTCCCAGAACCATGCACAAAGACCCCGTCGCAGTCAAAGCCCTCTGAGGGCGTCCAGCCTACATCGCAGCCGCCGCAAGTACCAGCTATGGCTACCCCTACGCCCCATAAGAATAGCTCAACCAAGCTGCCCGTTGCAGCTACAGAGATTCACACGCCCAAGGACCGTACCACTATCAAGCCTGCAGGTCAGGAAATGCACCCGGCGCATCATCATGCAAGCACGGCCAAGGTTTTGGATGAGGCGCGTTGGCTAGGGTTCCAGTCGCTGGGCGCGCACACTGCACCACCAAAAGCAGCTGGTCTGGCCGCAGGCCAGGCTACTCCTTCCAAAACTCCTGTACCCACCACTACAGGCTTGACCTCAAACATCGAGTCTTCGCCGGATTTCCGCTTTCGGTTCAAGTCTCCCGTGCTCGAGGGCCCCAAACCAGACGAAGCCGGATTGAGCCCAAGCTCGCGCAACATCTTGAAGAGTGCCGGTATCACAGGTACTCCTGGTGCCGGTAGTCGTGCCTTGTTTGGTATGTGATAATATAGATTTGTGCATACCTTTCATTCTAACCACTTGACAGGTACTAGCGAGTGGTCTTCCAAAGCCGATGTGTCACCCCAACGCAAAAAGGCAGAAGCCAAGGGCAAATTGGCCCGCTTCAGCGATGTGCATATGAAGCAGTTCAAGAATATGGACTCGATCGCCAACCACCCTTCTGCATTCCGTGCCGATCCATCTCGCTTCAAGCCTGTTATTGGCCAGCCGCTTAAGAAATCGCCTTCAAAGCCTGACCTTGCGAAGCCTGAGACAAACAGACTCAAGCGCACACAGTCCAAGATTGATATTGCAGAATCGAGCGCAACTCCCAATAGTAGTTTGAAACGCACGCAGTCCAAGTCGGCCATGACAGGTTCTGGAAGCAACGTTCCGCCAACGCCATTGAAACGCACACTGTCCAAGTCGGATCTTGCCGGACCCAGCGTGCCACGTTCTGAGCCTGCGCGTCGCATGGCGCCCCCAAACCGCGACGGCCGTCCCGCCTCACGAGATGGCGAAAGCAGTCGTAACCCAACATCAAAGCGTGTCAAGCGGACCGAGTCTGACGATGCTGCGACTACCCGTCCCGAATCTCACGAGAAGAACCCTGAAGATTCTACGCCTGCGATTGCAACTCCAGCGCGCAGGATCACGTCTCAAACTGCGCTTCCCCGTCTGGCCGCCCGTCTGATGACGCCCACAAGGTCGTCGGCCGCCCGTTCTCAAAGCGTCAAGACCCTGAAGACCACCTCGATGATTTCGACCTTTGGCAAACCACCTTCTACAGTCAAAATAGCAAAGTCAGCATCTACAGATCAGGCATCATCTCCATCCAGTAAGCTTAGTCAGATACGGGCTGTGAGGGATGGTGCAAGAGAGGGTCTGCGCAAGGTATGTAGCCATGCTGAATATCATCAGAATCTTACTGACATTGTATAGGCAAGTCACAACCTTCAGCTTGTTCGCTCCATCCTTCGTACTCCCAACCGCAAGTACTCGAATGACCCCAGCAAGATCGCAGCAGGCACACACTTGTCTCCCCCTGTGTCTTCGAACTTGGACAATGCCCTAACCGCAGTTCCAGCCACGGCTCCTGTGAAGAAGCACGTCAATTTCTCTAGTAGTACTCTGGAGCGAGCTTCGCACGAAGAATTGGGCAAGTCGCCGTCGCCAATGAAGTTTGGCGCAGGCAGTGAGGTCCCCACCGGTGCCGTGATATATCCCAACTTGAGCTCTGTCATCAACAATCTGGAGCGGTCCCAAGAAACCGAAACCTTGAAAGGCTCGCCATCACGACGTCTCGTATTCGGTGGCGAGGCCCCCAACCACCCACGCTCTTTTTCATTTGAGTCTGGGAAGGCTGTCAACTTTGGTACGTATGATTGATCTGAGTTAATTGTATCACTTTTGCTGATATTCTTCCAGGCCCTGCATCAGCCGGTACGGTCCGCATGGTCCGCAACAGTGACACTCCATCGCGTGCCGAGGGCAGCAAGCGCAAGCTAGAAACTCTGCAAGAGAACTCTGATAAGGAAAACGATGGTCCTGTCGAGGAGGAGGAGACGCGCTCATCCAAGAAAGTCAAGCATACTTCTGGACCGACTCCAAAGACTCCCGCCCGCACCAACAAGCTGCCACGTCAGACCCCAGGAAGCCGATCTACTACTATCAGCAAATCGAGGCTGGATTTCCTAGCCACACCCAAGCGGAGCAAGGTCTAACCATGAACTCTCTTGGACGCCACTTATTTGCCTTTCCAACTTTGCTGCTTCTTGGCGTTCTGCATGTCGATGCAACCCATCAATACGACTTATGACACTTTCCTAATTTCACGAAATGGGCGTCTTTTTACGTGTCACTGGGGCTGGGCGTAATAATCGGTGCTTTTGCGTAGGATATGAGCAGTCCAGATCTGTTCTTCGGTTTATAGCATCTCATGTGTCCGATGGGCATTGCATACAGCGAAATCTGTCTCGGTGTTCAAGCTTAGCTTATGTAACATATACTGAATTGAAAATGCGTGTTTATATCAAATGTATCCAATTGCAATGGCTCTGCTTTCTTTTGTTGACGTCGTTCCACATCACGTGTAGAATTGCTGGTGGTGTTGACTAAGCCGTATGCCAGGTCTCGTGCGCAGCCTAGTCGGACCTTTTCCTAGTGCGACGTCACTTCGCTAATACGTTTGGCCGATCGACGCAGACGAGCGGTTCGACCGCTCATAGAAGCCCCCACTGCACACACAAGGACTTTCCCAACTACTTACTACGTCATTTGAGTACGCGCGGACACATTACGCCTTGCTAACTAGCAGGGCGCCTCACTCGACCACCGTGGCGTCGCTGAACACCCTAGTCGACGAATTGAAGAAGTCCTTCAATTTCTTCAACAGCAGCTCTTTACTAGGCGACAACGCAGCTTCTTCAGACAATACCGAGCATCAGTCTACAGACGCGCTATCAAAGGCTATCCGCTTCCTGCAGAATCGTGGTCTGAGCGATATCACCGAGATCGTCACGAACCCTCGCTTTGACGATCCGACCTACCTTGTCACAGTTGCTATTGCACTGGCCTCCATTATTGTGGGCATGTCTTGGTTCTCACGCGCTGGCGGCAGCTGGGGAGGGCGCTTTTCGCCATTTGGCCGCCCTGGTAACTCGCCCAACGCTGGCGTCGTAAACGACTCCGATTTCTCGTACATCACAAACGAAGACTTGCGTCGGAATGGACAGGCATCAACACCTGAAATTGTAGACTGGGATGACAAGAACCCTGAGCGAGAAACAGATGTGCTCATCTTCAAGCATGGCCGAACCCACTATCCTACACATTTCCCAGCGCACAGCATACGTGATGGAGACCTCAAGATCGGTACGGTACGACAGGCCGCGGCGAAGAAGTTGGGCGTCGATGACTACCGAAAAATACGCATGTTCTATAAGGGCAGGAATTTGAAGTATGATGAGCGGACTGGACGGGAGGAAGGGCTACGTGGCGATGGCAGTGGTAGTGAGATTCTAGTCACAGTAGGCGAGGCACCTATCGGCGGTCATGGGGCTGCCTCAGAAGAGGTACCACCACGCGCCTGGAGCGAGGGCGAAGAGGACGATGACGATGATGACGACTCCGGCGTAAATACATCCGGCAAAAAGAAGTCTCGCAAGCGCGGCGGCAGAAAGAGCAAGAAGAAAGGTGTCTCCTCGGGTAACGCATCCGGAACTTCGACACCTGGCTACACCACCGCCGGAGCTGGCGCGGAATACCTCCCCATCCCTTCCCACATCAACGCCGCACCCCGCCCTACCTCTGCGCCGCCCCAAAACACCTCCAAGCCCGCTCAACCTCAGACCCCTATGGGCAAGCTCGACGCCGTCGCCAGCAAATTTCATACTGAGCTAGTCCCACTGTGCATACAGTTCATGTCGAACCCGCCCGAAGACAAGGCAAAAAAGACGTTTGAATACAAGAAGCTGAGCGAAACCATCCTCACGCAAATCATTTTCAAGCTCGATGGCGTGGATACCGAGGGTGATCCCGATGCGAGGGTTAAGAGGAAGGCGCTTGTCAAGGAGGTGCAGGCTATGATGGGCAAGTTGGATGAGGTAGGGAAGGAGTAATGTAGTTTTTTGTGTGCTAGAGTGGGGGAGTTTTTTTTAGAGAATGCGGTTAGTTTAGATGAATGTAATATGTTCTTTTTTTTTCTTTTTAATGGGTATGATGATTGGTGTGAGAGAGCTCGAAAGAGAAAAGAGATTCTGCACCAGTTTTTGCAAGGTTTTTTGGACGACAAGGTCTTTCTTCCTTGTCTTCTTTTCTTTTCTTTTCTTTTGTGCTCACCTATTTAAATCGGCTTCCTCGCCTTGTGTAAGAAAAGGTTCAAGTACGCGCGAACAACCCTTTTTTCTTCTTGTCTTTTTTTTTCTTATCTTTTGCAAATTCCTACTCTTTGCCTTTTTTTTTAATATAAATGTTCAACCATGACCTGCCGAACAATTATGTCATAAACCATATGACATGGGGTTGTTACTTGATATCTTGGAGAGTCTGTAACTTAAAAAAAAATGATTTGAAGTTTATGCAGTATTTGTGTGTATTCAGGTATGATTGAGAAGATGAGCTAGGGATAGGACGGAAATGCAGCTATTGAGACTGTGCCGTGATAACAATCGAAGCTTCTTTTTGGTATTATGACAGCGTTTTCTTCTACCTATAAAATCTCGTGTCGTCCTCGGTAGGTGGGTCGGTATGGAAGTTGCTGGACTGGTACGTTAGGTGGGGTGGATTAGTTGAAGAAAGGGAGTCTCATCAATAACCTAAGGTTTGAACAAAGTGCTCTGGGTTCAAGTCTAAAATGACGAAATGTGGTTTGGTATGTAACCTGCTCCCTATATATTGATGTGGGCATGATGGATACGCAGAAATAAGCGCCTGGATTAATTGATTTGTATACTGATATTTTTAATCCATACATATGGAAATTTAAGACTTGTAAAGTGTATTGTCTATAATACTACTATAGAAGGCATGGTATTATCACGGCGCTATTTAGGTAAGAATCTTTTTTTTACTATAGTGTGCCAATGCCTTTATTTTTTAATTTTCTTGAATCTAGTACCATATTACGTATCGTGATCCAAAGCCCAAATAATAAATGTTTCTAGATAGGAACGTTATATCCTTCATTCTTCATCTTCTCTTTCGTCTTCATCTTCTTGACTTTCAAATTCCCAGTCCATGAATAAAGAACACAACAGCCTTGTTAGCACCAATTGCTGGACGTCTCATTATTTTGATTTATGTCGTCTCCAAATCCATGCTTACTTTAAACGTCGTCGCAGTACGTCCGAAAATGCTTCTGGCTTCACGGAGGGGTATTTGGCGTTATCTATATTGTCACCAAAGGAAATCTTTCCAGTTAATGTGAAGTATTGACTAGCACTGTATAATAGTCGCTTTATTAACTTGAACTTTAGGTGGGCGGTGGTGTTACAACTTACGAGAGGGTTTGCTCTATGTTACCAGCGCCATCCAACCGCTTCTCAAGGACGGTCAAAGGTCCTTTGGATTTGAGGACTTGCTTGCAGCCGGTCACTAATTCCACGTCATTGGCGATTTCCACTATACTTTTATGATCTCCTCGAACTAATTGCAATTGTAAGTATTATGAGTCAACGCACCAGTGGGGAGGGGTGCTACATTTGAAGAAGCCAGATGCATTCGGGTCAAGAGCCACAGCAGCAACATATTCTGCTGCTGTCCAATACGAGGTGAGGTCCCATTTCTCATTACCAGTTCCCCAATACCTAAGCTCGTTCGCTTCCGGGTACCAGACTTCGAAAATGTCAAGAAATGTCTCGATGAGATGACCAACCAGGATATGCACACCCTTGACAGAAGGTTTTGTGCCTCAGTATGCTACAATATCGTTTGTAAAGTTTTTAATCCCCAAGTCGGTCGGATCGAGCTTGTGGTAATCTGCAGTGTAGTCACTGGCGATGTAACGCGGTATACCCTCTTTTTCACAAAGATCAATTAAACTTTTCTGTGTCTCGAGCATGACTTCATTGCTCGAGAAGTAGCAGCATATTACCACACTGCAACCGCGCACCAAGGTGCGCAACGTCTCAGTGTCGTATGGGTCGCTCTGTACCAATGAAATGCGAGAATTGGATTTCAGATCATCCGGGATCTTGTTTATGTTACGTGAAGAGCCGCGAATGTGGACATCAGGTTGTTGGAGAAGTAATTTCGCGATGAGAAGAGCAAGAGTGCTGCTGATGCCAGCGATTGCGATAGTAGTTGACATTTTCGGGATGTGCAGGTTCAAGACGGGAACTAGACTGACTGAAATTAGATAAAACCTCTAACTAAGGTGCATGCTGTGCCCTAATATAAATCTTCAAGCCTACTAGCCGTAACTAGCCCGGGTCTTCTAGTAGCCGAATGCCGTATCGGATTTGATCAGGACATCATTGACTAGCTTCAAAACTCATTCCGCTTACCAATCCACTGCTCACTTGACTCTTCAGTTAGTTACTGCTTCGAAATCAAGTATTGTAGAGGTATATAATGCTTGACACTGAATTGACCAAATTGGTTTACCGTTACCGCTCTATGGACTCGCATCCAATCTGTGGAAAGTGCAGTTCTCTACATATGGAGAAGTCACTGTCCATGTAACGGTACCTCTCGGATATAGATTAGCGTGGAAAGTACAGGGTAGCAGGGGTATTTTTTCCCAACCAAGGGTGATGCAGCATTTCAAGAACAATCGGTTGATATGCCTTTGTATATTACAATACACGCTCTATATTCTTCACTACACTATATAAAGACTAGCAAAGGGTATTATCAAGTATTTAAGCATGAAAATTGGCTAAGGAGCACCCTTGGTTGTGAAAATATACCCCTGCTACCGTCTACATAGGCCAGATCTATAGCAGATATAAACAACAAATCTTATATCACAACACAAAGAGTCCCGAGATAACGTATGCTGATAACCTGATATTATGTAGAGTATTCCCACTATGATTGGTGACGAGAAAGAAATCGTTCATGATAGAAAGCTCGTTCTCTGTTCTTGAACAAAAAGATGACTAGTACTAGAGCTTCCCTAACAGTGCTCCTGGGCGAGATAATGAGGTGAATCCATCGGAATAATAATGTAAAGCTCAAGGATGGATGATAACTAGTTAACCTCTACTGTTGTATCTTTATATGGGTTTTTTTTTCTGAAGATTTTTCCTTTCCTATACTAGTCACATGTGAATGCTTAGCATTCTATCCCTACTACCATCGGCTCCCCAAAAGGTTAACTGCCTGGCGTTAGCCCTAACCCGATATCGAGAAATAAATAAAAAATTTGGTACTCCCTTCCTGCCCATCATGCCCATATAAAATAGATCACGCAATTAGTCTACCGATACAATCTAAAACCAATGCAGTAAGGTAAACATACTACACCGCTCCCTTTCAAAGCGCGCGCGCATTAGTAGTACTCTAACGAGCTCGCAATCCACGCAAAAGCGGCCTTATTACTAGCTTCTAGGCCCCGAGTAACCAGAATACCTTTCAAAAAGTCACCTAGTGTCGGCGGTGTTTCCCTAGCCAAAAAATTCGTCATAACTCGTGTGTTGCCCCTCATTGAACCCCACTTTGCCAGCATTAAACAGCGCGCCCTTGATCCTCATAAAAACGTGCCCTCTACGTTTAAGAAAGAAGAGACATCTGAACTTTTTCTTTTACTGTTGTCAAGGACTATCCAGGAACTTACACATTTGGTTTTTCTCAACCGTAAATATGTCGCAGCAATCTGATATAACGCTTTATACGACGCAGACGCCGAATGGCATCAAGATCTCCATTACTTTGGAGGAGCTGGGGTGAGTATGTTTTGTGCTTTACGAATACGTTTCAATAGTCTTCGCCTTTTTGTTATTTCGCGTCATCTGAATCGGTTCTGTTCTATTTTCCTTTGTTGTCATATGAGCATTTCTCTCTCTCTCTCTCTCTCTCTCTTTGATTGTATACATTCACGAACAGGACAGTTGGCATCGTGTCACTTCATCTCGAGAACAGAAACGAGGTATCAAGAATCTCGTGATGAGTAGTGAGATGTAATTGCGACCTGCTCTGATCCTTACACGATGTCGACATATCGTTTTCAAAATATCCCTTCACCTTTTCACCTTTTCCTACGTTCAGTCTCAACCTCGAGGTGCAGAAAATGGCATCATCATCATCACACATATGTTCTATGATCTTCATAGTCTTGAAGATAGAGAGCGCAACCCATATTCAAGGCCACATCACATACCACTCAAGGGGAAAGATCAACATAACTAACCTCCACCCAGCCTCCCCTACAAAGTCCACAAGATCGAAATATCCAAGAACACTCAAAAGGAAGACTGGGTAAGTTCCCCCACCCCACCCAAAAATAAATAAATATCATTCCAACCAAACAACCATACAACAGTTCCTCGCCATCAACCCCAATGGCCGCATCCCCGCACTAACCGACACCTTCACCGACGGCAAACCCATCAACCTCTTCGAATCCGGCAGCATCATGCAATACCTCGTCGAGCGCTACGACACAGAGTACAAGATTAGTTTCCCCAAGGGAACGCGCGAGTGGTACGAAATGAACAATTGGTTGTTTTTCCAAAATGCTGGTGTAGGACCTATGCAGGGTCAGGCTAGTAAGTCTTTCCCTTCTTTCTTTCTCTCTCTCTCTTTTTTTTTGTTGTTGTTGTTGTTGAGATGTTTGGGTTTCATGTGATTATCAAGATCTTTGTAAGAGAGGGGGTGTGTGTGCCAACGACCAGGCCTGAAGCAAGATAGTAGTAGGGCTTGGCAAAAAGGGGGGGAAAGCGTTGTTTTCTGTTCAACGATCCCTGGAGCAACATGATGTGCGCGGCGGTTGCGCGTCAGGCGGATTGGGATTGATTGATTGAGTGACGGCGGGAGCCAGCCCAGCCCACCCACCCCTTCATCAATCAAATCAATCTTGCCTCGGGATGTGGGGGGAGCGGCGCGGGCGGGGAAACTGCCAAACAGAGGCAAAGATCCTCGAGCCGCCTTGTGATCTACATTATTTGCTAAAAGAGTTTTGGAGGGGCTGTCAAGAGGGGCAGAAGAGCAAAAAGGCGCAACAAGAGAAAAAAAGAGGAACGGATCAAGGCTGACAGAAATCTCTTTGAACAGATCATTTCACGCGCTATGCTCCCGAGCATATCGAGGTAAGCAACACAGGCGGCTTTTGCGTCATGCCGTACGCATAAAAATAGGAAAAGAGTGCTGACACGATTGTGTGTTTCTCCATGGATTTAGTATGGTGTGAGCAGGTACCAAACCGAGACACGCCGTCTCTACTCTGTCCTTGACAAGCATCTCGCTTCTGACAACAGGCCATACCTGTGCGGCACAAAGTGCACCATTGCCGGTGAGTAGCGTGTCAATTTTTCTGTTGCTTACCCAGTCCATGTATTCAAACATGGTCGCACCCTGCATTCTCCCCTCCTTTCTCTTCTGCCAACGCATAGCCGTTTTGCTGTTCCTGTCTCCCCATCATCAATCATTCGATGGTGGTTGGAAGAAAAAAATGAAACCGGTTTGTTGCAAAACCTTATGTACGCGGCGGATGGGGCTCTCCCGCAGCCCACCGAAATGCAATCAGCCGGCAATTCCCTTCCCCGTCCATCCCGGGATTATTTTCACATCCATTACTCGTTCCCAAGGCACACACACACAGTCCCTCTCACCTAATTCCTCATCTCCTGTCATCTAACCAAACTTTAGACATTGCTCACTATGGATGGGGAGCGGCTGCCGGCTGGGCAGGCGTCGACCTGGACAGGTTCCCTGCGGTTCAGGCCTGGCTGGACCGAATGGAAGCACGTGAGGGGGTGGAGAAAGGCCGCCACGTCCCCGATCCTCACACCATGAGGGAGTTGCTCAAGGACAAGGCCAAGATAGCGGAGCAGGCTGCTAAGAGTCGAGCGTGGGTCCAGGCCGGCATGAAGGAAGACGCCGAGCAGCAAAAGTAGGGTAGGTTGCGCGTAGACTTCGTCCGCAGCTGATAGCAGTTGCTCTAAGAACAGGCATTCTTAATTGTATGTATACAAGATGTGGAGATGCTGTTCTTAGTAGCGTCAAGTCTCCGGTTGAGTGCAGCCGACATGATAATACCCCGGATCTGGGGATTTCTACAGCTTGCTAGTGCCCTTCGTATTGAGATGTGTGTGTGGGTGTAGGTGTGTTGTGTGACATTCATTCGCAAATACGAATGCGAGCCCTGAAACTCTCCCTTTTTGTCAGTCAGCGCCCAAGAAAGAGACGGAGATCATGACGATAATGATGAGAAGAACAAAAAAGGACAAGGAGGAAGAAAAAAACCGTCATGTGCCGTGGCATCGTGAGTCACGCAGACCTTCTCTCGGTCAACCAAGTCCCAGGCTTCGGGAAGATTGTCTCGGCTGATCGGGGACCTGGGGACCTACTACTCGTAGATAGGTATGCTTCTAGAGTCGGTAAAGTCCTGTTTGCGGAATTCTAGATCGGATTCAGAAACAAGGGTATTCCGATGTGGGCAGGGCAGGGCGATCCGATCTAGTCTATGGTGATCGTGAAACTCCTTGCACCCTCTTGGCAGGGTATATACGGACGAACATATTTGATAGATGGATGTTTCATGCTGTCACTACGCCATGAGAGTGGCTGGCGAGAGACGTGGACTAGTCTGGGCTGGGCATAAACCGCGAAATTGTGCTAGGGCGTGACTTGTGTGAATGGAGAAAAGGAAGCGACACCGGTAGTGGTGAACCTCGGAATGTACTTGCCATATTGTAGCGTTGCGTAATTCATTGCATGTCAGGGGTAAGGTTAGTAGATACCCTTGGTACTGGATGAGCTCGCCACGCTCAGATTATGCAGCAGGGATGGACAGCCAAAGATATCACGCTATGTCGGCACGATGCTAGCTCCCAGCCAGAGCCAGCTGTGCAAACAGCAGCAGTCAAAGTAGCGCCGCGAACCATGGCGTGTACTGCCGCAGACGCACCGATTGTTGACATTCGCGTTACGCCTCATTTGTATGAAACGGGTTGAGGGGTGGCGACAAGCGTTGGGGTGCGTTGGGGGAACAGGGTCGCCAAGATGGACAGACGGATGCTTGTGTGCACCATGCGGGCGGGCTTGCAACATCCCGAAACTTACATTAGACTCTTTGGGCGACGGGGGGTCAGTCGGTCGGAACCGCAGTGGTTAACTTGCCTTGTAACGGGAAAAACAAAGGACAATCGGGGTCTCGTGGGATGGGGCCGGCGAAGAGTCACCAAGGGCATCCAACGAATTTGACAACAGAGAGAGAGAGAGGAGAGGAGAAGACGGTGTGTTTTAGTCCAGGGACGCTCAGAGCACCTGCATCATCATCCATATTGGGCCATGCACCTCATCAGCAGGGCAGGCACGCAGGCTAGGGCTGTGTCGAGTCGCAACTGCCAGACCAGACCAGACCAGACCAGACCAGAGTGTGAGTGCCAGTGCCAGTGCCTTCTTTGCCCCACCCACTCCCGTTCATCAAACAATCTCATGTCCATGTCTGTCCGTTGTCAAGCTGGCGTCAACACCTGTCTTGTGTCTGTCAGTCAGCATGCACACCCACCCACCCACCATCATCATCACCACCACCACCAGCTGCTACTACTGCAGCTGTCGACAGCTCCTACCCCAGGTCAATACTCGCCCCCGCATTAATAGTCGATGATGCATGATCGCGCGAGCCGCTCATGCGACGCGGCGGTAGCAACAGGTCACGATTCGCTGGTTGGGCTCCCGCCTAACCCTCGACGGCGGGACTGGGGGGAGGATCTTGGTTTCCCAGCCGTGAGGGTGTGGAGCCGTAGCAATTGGACTACGGCTATTTTGCAATGGCACAGCCGCTGCGGTACGCGGCGCCCACCCCACCAATCGTTCCTGTTACTGCATCAGCCTCGATGGCGACGGTTAATATTACCCTACTAGCCAAATCAAAGTCAAATCAATTGAATGATGATGCAAAAGGATTGGCAGACAGGGCACATAGGGCTCTCGCCAGTGCCAGCGTGGTTCTGTAGCACGGGCACCATCCACTGATCCGAAATCCGACGCTGACACTGACGCTTGCCCCTCATCCCAAGATCTTGGGGCACCTTCGTATTCCCGGGTTTCACTGGTGGGAGAATCTGGGGTGCATGAAAAAAAAGCAACACACACACAAAGGGCGGGCAGAACGCGACGCCGTCTCGCCAGTCATGTTATGCCGGAGGATTGCATTGTACTGCTACCCTGCTGCCCTGAGGCCATGTACCGAGGTGTGGCTCAAGTCCTTTTATATCGCTGATGATCAAGTGGCTTATGGTTGGACCCTTAATATACGGGACTTGTATGTGTACCTAGGCACGTTGATGTAGCGCGTGGCAAGGGCCTGTCAAAAATCAAATTGGACACAGCCATCTTCTTCACAAAAGGCTGCGAACATGTGCTTTGGCGTCACTGTAGGTAGGGCGCAGTGCATGGCAGCAGCCTTGTGGGGGCGCCTAGGCGATGAGCGGTCAGGTAATCTACAGGGAGCGCGTGGGTCGTCTTCTGGCTTGCAACCAATACAGCAGGTCGATGAAAAAAGCTGTGTGAGCTGTGTGGCCAGATTGCCATGGGTTGATGGCCTCTTTTGCGCTGGCTGCAGTGGCCCAGCGTGCAATCTGAAGTGGAGTGGGCAGCGTTGAGGAGAGTTCAGGTCGTGGTGTGATTTGCTCGAGACGTTGTCGCTTACATGCAGGAGCCCGGCGAGGGTCACACTGTTCAGACCCAAGTGTGGAGGTACGGCCGTTGTGGATCCCGTCCTGGCCGTGTGTGGCCTGGTGCCAAAGCGGGAGGTGGGCGTGTTGGGCAGTTGTCCATTCGGAGTCTTTCAGAAAGAAGCAATTTCAACGTCTATCGGCCAGGCAGGCAGGACTGCGTGCACAAGCTCGTTCAACGGGCCGGCGATTGCACTCTCATCTCCATGCACGAGATTGCATGGACAGAAATTGCGGCGATCACAGCACGGCGGAGCTCGACAATGACATGTCTCTGCTTCGGCGAGCGGTCTCGTCTTGGTACAGAGGTACTCGCAGGCGGGCGCTAGCAGGTGGCTGAAACAGCAGGCTAGAGAGAAATGTGGTGGAAATGCAGCAAATGGAGAAATGAGACGACTGCAAGATTAATACGGACGAGTTATGTGAAGGAAGGGGTTGGGTGTGATTTGTATGGGATGCGTGGATGAGAGAGTGTACCTGGGACACAAAGGGCGAGAAAAGCCAGGCTGTCCCCTCCCCCGTGGGAAGTAATAAGCGGACCCGCCGGTGGCATGCTGTCGTGCAGATCCACTGTGGTCCACTTATGTGTACTGGGGGCGTGTGCAGAGTGGACGGCCATCAGCTGGACCGTTCACCTTTGCATCTGGAAGGGGTGGGCAGGGCCGTGGGCAGGTTTGATAATAATACGGCCAATGTGTGGTGTTCCACATTTGGACGGAGGAAATGGTGACGTTGGCCGAAGAGGACATGTCGGAGTCGGGGTTGCAGGCATGGTGGGCTCGCTTAGCTTGCCAGAAACGCCGCCCGAGCCCCTCGGCGTGTGCTTGTGCGCGGTGGTGCAGGGCGGGAGCATCAGCGGCGGTGGCACTGGACAATGAGCGCGCAGCACGGCATGACCAGGACCCGACAGCGTGAATAAGGGTACTTGGTACATGGTCGACAGGCTTGACCCAGCGCAACAGGCGGACAGTGTGCAGTGTGCGGTAGTCGAGGTTAGTGAGCACAAGCAGGCCGGAAACCACGTCGCAGGCTAGGCCGAGCCATGTGGATACGGCGAGGACTCAAGCATGCTCGTGAGTTCGAGGCCTTTGCCGGGGGTGGCTTGGCGGGCGGGTGCGCAAAGGCAACGCCGGCCACGAGGAGTTCGCCGTCGGCATTGGGTTTCATGTGGCAGGGCGGCGTGCATGTTTTGACGTTGTGACGTGTGACGGTGGGCGGGGGGGGCGTGACGGAGCAACAAAAGGAGCATGATTATTATTGTTATTCTTTAGCAGTAGCAGTAGTGGGTATGAAACGACAGGGCGAGGGCGTTTCAGCAGTCGGGCACAGGAGCAGAAACAAGACGAGAAAGGAAGCAGTGTAGTAGCATGTACATGGGATGGTCGAGCAGCAGCGGGCAGCAGAGCGTGTGCATGTGGTATTGGCCGAGGCGAGGCGTGGCGGTGGGGAGAGAGCGGCATGCCATGTACCTAGGTACTCTAGACTACTTACTTACTCACTCGTACTTACCATATATACAATGGCTCCGACGCAAGAGGCAGAGGCAGAGAGAGAAAAAGAGAGACAGACAGACTCGGCCCCGCGGGAGCGTTTGTCATGGTCAGGCGCGACAAGCCACAACCTGGAGAAGGCCGCAGGAACAGGCAGCAGGGATGGGCGGCAAAGCTGACGTGCGGTGAGTCGTCGTCGACGTCGAACGAGGAAGCAGCGACCAGCGAGCAGAATGGACAAAGGGAGGCGCTAGGCGTGAACTGTCTGGCGTCTACTCGAGTACCTAGCGTCAGTGTGTGAGAGTGAGTTTGAGTGAGAGTGAGTGCAAGTGCGAGTGTGCCATGGACATGGGCATGGGGCATGAACAGGGACATGGGTGCGGGCAGATGGGTGGGGCAGCCTGGAATAGCAGTACTATGTACATGTCTATGTACACGCCAGCAGTGATACCTACTTACCGTAGGCGCACGCACACACAGAGAGAGAGAGAGGTCCGCAGTAGTCTGCCAGTGTGCGTGCCTGCTAGTCTGCTGTTAGTCGGGTGCGTCGTCGTCGTCGGTGGTGGTGGTGGTGGTGGTGCAGCCCCGCTTTTTGCCCTCGACTGTGAGGGTGAGCAACCACCGGCTAATGTCGTTTTACCCGTTCCAATGGCGCCCTCTTGCGCCGCCAACGGTCCCCCTGCCAGCCGTGTCGTGATGCCTGCCACGAGCTGCCCCAGAGCCTGGTTGCCGTAGCCAATGGGCCGCCCCTCGTACATCCATGCATGGGTGTTGGAATTAAACATTCCGTCCTCTGATATTGCTACACACCAGACTTCGCTTCTCGAAGCCCGCGTGGACGCATGGAATCTTCAAGCCACAGATCGTCACACTGACCCTGCAAAACCGTCGCTGCATCCCTCGTCCTGGCCCGCCTGTCTCCTCGGCACCTGGTTAGCACCACTATACCTTTGTCCCAGGCCCACATATGCTCCCCAAGTATCCCATGACCCGCGCTTGTCCCCAGATTTACCGCTGCCGATTCCTTCCTCCTCGACTGTTCATCCCCGACGTCACTCCCGTTTTGCTTCTCTCCTAACCGTCTCTCGCCTCTTCGTCGAGGCCGCCACCATCACTCTGCCTCAGTACGTCCGCCTCCGTGCCCTTACCGCCTTGACCTCTTCCAATTGCTCACCATCCCTTCTAGCACCAAACAAAAAAGGCACTCACTTGGACTCACGTCTCTCAACTTGACCAACCTTCAACAGACATGGAGTCCACAACAGCACCACCACCAGCACAGGACGCGGCAAAGATTGAGCGAAGAGGCTCAGCACCAGTCAAACGCAGAGTAAGCCGCGCATGCGATCATTGCCACCGCATGCGCACACGGTGTAACGGTCAGGCACCATGCTCGCGCTGCATAGAACTTGAATATGTTTGCCAGTACAACCGTGAAAAGAAACGCAGAGGAAAAGTAAGCATAACCACACCCCCACGCTCACCCAACCCCATCCATGCATCCCCAAAACTCACCTTGCCTAGGTCCCGCGACACATCCAGAAGCAAAGAGAAGAAGCTGCTGCCGGTGGCGGCGGCGGTAGCCCACAGACGCCAAATGGAATCAACGGTTACTTTGAGAGGCCCAACGTCATGAACGAAATGGAAGAGGATGTATGGTCGCAATCAGAAGCAACGCCCGTCGTACAGCATTTCCCATCGACCAAGACCGGCTTACCCACAGGTGACTGGCAGGCTTTGAACTCTGGCGCCGCTTTTGACCCTCCTGTCAACCACATGATGATCGACCCTTTGCTCCTTGGATCAGGTGCCGCCTACCCCCCAATGCACGCCGAGATGCCGCGCGAGGAGCTCATGTATGCCATGAATGGTACGTTGAACGACCAAGCGTCGAGTACTGTGCACATGCATGCAAAGTACTCTGCATTGGCTTGGATTTGCTGACAGGTAGCAGGCATCCACCTCATACCCGGCTCCAATGGCACTCCAGTATCCATCCCCACTGAATACGCAAACATGGCCTACCACATGCACTACCAACAAGCCGCACGACAGTCCTCACCTCACAGCTATGGCTCCGCAGACACTGGATCGCCACAGTCAGGCGTTAGCGCAAACTCATCACAGCACAGTGGCCCCATGCTTTCTTGCAGATACCCTGTTTTGAAGCCGCTGCTACCACATCTTGGTAGCATCATGAACATCCCCACCGCCTGCGATCTTCTCGAATTCTACTTTCAGAGCTCTTCGTCTGTCTTCATGGAGCCCGTCTCCCCATACATTCTTGGATCCGTCTTTAGGAAACGGAGCTTTTTGCGTCAACATAACCCGAGGCGATGCAGTCCAGCCCTGTTAGCCAGTATGCTCTGGGTTGCAGCTCAAACCAGCGAGGCCAGTTATCTCACCTCATCACCTTCAGCAAGAGCCATCATTAGCCAAAAACTGTGGAAATTGACTGTCGAACTATTGAAACCCCTGGTCCATTCTCCATCCTCGCACGGCTTCACCCCTGGACCTGGCGTTACCTCTGCTGCTCACGACGCTTTTGGCGTGGATCGGGTAATAGGGAGGTACGACGGAAGAGCAGACGGAGCATTGCCACCAACCAGCACGCTAGACGACGTTGCTACATATATCAACCTTGGGGTGGTTACTTCAGCAAGCGAGTACAAGGCGGCTTCTTTGAGGTGGTGGAACGCGGCATGGTCGCTAGCTAGGGAGCTAAAGCTGGGCCGAGAACTGTCTCAAAAGCCGCCCAAAGAACACGAAGGAAACGCGACTGATGGAGAAGTTGATGTTGGCGTAACTGACGGTACCGGTACCCAAGCGCCCGCAGGTACCCCAGCTGCAGCCATCATCGAAGAAATGAAAGAGGAGAGGCGACGGTTGTGGTGGCTGCTCTACATGGTTGATCGACATCTTGGACTCTGCTATAACCGCCCGCTGGCCATGCTGGATAATGAGTGCGAGGATCTATTTCAACCAGTCCCCGACACTCTTTGGCAACAGGGTGAATTCTACACTGGACACGCAGGACCACGGAAGCGGGGACTCAATTTCCAGTGCACATCGTACGTATAAGTCCCTTACCCGAGACATTCCCGAGATCTCATTTCCCACGATTCGTCATTTGAGTAGTACTGACGTGATGTAGACACGATGTTTTTGGCTTCTTCTTGCCGCTGATGACAATCCTTGGCGACATTGTAGATTTGAATGCGCAAAAGAACCACCCAAGGTTCGGTCAGCGGTCATCTTGGGAACTTCATGAGGCTGAAATTACCCGCCAATTGGAGCGGTACGCGTACAGTATTGAGGAGTTCAAAGCGCAATACGGCTGCGGCCCGAATGAGGAAGCACAACCAAACACTACACCGGATCCGGTTCGAGCCGAATGGATTCACCAAACAAAAAAGGTTGCCGCATACGCCACACACATCATGCACGTGCTTCATATTCTGTTGCACGGCAAATGGGATCCAGTAGCGCTTTTGGAAGACGACAACATGTGGGTGTGCTCACCGTCTTTCCTCGCCGCGACTTCAAACGCCATCACAGCGGCCCATGCAGTCGATGTAATTCTGGATGTCGATCCCGACCTATCCTTTATGCCCTACCTGTTCGGCATGGTAAGTGAGACTCCGTGTTAATTTGATGGGATTTGGCAGTTTCAGACATGGCCAGCCCTAATCTTGTTACATTACTTTTGTAGAGAACCTGGCTAACCAATCAACAGTATCTGCTCCAAGGAAGCTTGATTCTGTTGCTCTTGGCCGACAAGCTGTCGACCGAGACCAACGAGAATGTGATCCGTGCCTGCGAAACAATTGTACGGGCGCACGAAGCCGCTGTGGTGACGCTCAACACAGAGTATCAGGTAAGCTGTTTGTGTGATTATTCGAATCTGCAGGGTACTGACTTCGCACAGCGTAACTTCCGGAAAGTTATGATATCCACATTGGCTCAAATCAAGGGCCATGGTCATGCGAGGGAGATGACACCAGCCAAACGGAGAGAGGTGCTCTCGCTATACCGATGGACCAGTTTAGGCAACGGTCTAGCAATTTAGATAGGTTTGGGTTGCATTAAATAAGTGAATTTTCGGCGTCAGGGAGCAAACTGGATGGATTCTGGTTTGGCTAAAACACTACTATTACCCAGGGATTTGTACGATTACGACTATTTGGGGGGAAACTGCGCGGGATTACGATGGCATGGAAAACTAAAAAAAGGCGCGCTTCGCTTCGTTACGACCCGACTTTTACATTCAAAACCTTTTGTTCCGTAATGTTTTTTATTCTTTCTTCTCTCTCTCCCTTGAAGTGATTTAGGAGCAATGTAATCAAGCAAAACAAACGGGTACCGATGCCTCGTATTTTGACTTTTTTTTCTCATCTCGATTACCTTTCTTGTACCACCCGTTGCTTGTGTCCACCAATCATAGTAAGCCAATGAGAGGGGAAAGAAGGAAGCGAAAACGCAGTGTTACGGCCGTTTCCCCCTAGATGTGCGCTGGGTGGGTTACATGGGGGTGCGGTGTCATGAATCAGGGTCTGAGACTAGCCAGCGAAGGGAGGACACTCAGAAAGATGCTCCTTTAGCGTCGTCGGTGCAGCTTCTGTATTGGGTCAAGGCGCCGACGTAGTGTCGACCAGAGGAGACAGTGTATTTTTTTAGTTCCCTAATGGACAGTGAGTGTGACATGGAAAGACACCAATGGACACAATAGCCAGAAAAAGAAAAAAGAAAGAATGGAAACTAGTGGTGAATTCCGGGGGACCGCTTCGGGGTCTAGTAGTAGCAGGTAGGACTGTTCTTTTTTTTTCTCTATATTACGCAACTAGTTGTGTGACGCTAGTTGGCTGGGTTCCGGTGTATGTAGTGTGGTTGTATCTTCAGGTCAGCAGGAAAAGGGGATATGCAGACATGCAGACATTCAGAGGGGAGATTTAACATGAACGTCACACAAGAAACACGAAATAAAACAAAATAAAACAAGGATATCTATTTTTCTTTTCTTCCTGAGAACAAGTAAATTATAAACTCTTCTCCACCTCCATAACCTCCTTGATTCCCTCAGCAACAGCATCAACCTTTTCTTGCGACAACCTCTTGAGGGGCTTGCGAGGGTAGCCACCGTAGCCGTAATATGACTGAATGGCCGACTTTGTGCCTGGGATGGCAGATTTGGTCAAGACCCAGTCGCCCTTGCTGAGCACTTTTTGCAGCTCAAAGGCCTCTTCGTACTTGCCTTCAGCCCAGAGATTCCACACCTTGACACACGTCTTGGGGATAACGTTTGCGCCGCCGGCAATGATGCCTGAGCCGCCGCTGGCAGCGGTTTGGGCGGTGAAGTCGGCCATGCCGCCAAAAGCCATGTAGCCACCGCTGTTGGACTTTGCTGTGCAGGCGTTGGTGGCCAGAGCCACGCGTGTGAGCTTACCTGTGTTGCCGCAGGTGAACTTTGTGCCGACAATGTTGGGGTGCTTGGCGAGCTTGATGAGGAGATCGCTGTCCATGTCGATGCCGGCTACGGCGCCTGGGTAGTTGTAGAGCATAATGGGGATTGGGGAGCCGTCTGCTACTTTGGTAAAGTACTCGTAGATGGCGTCTTCGTCAATGGCGTAGCGGTAGTAGCTGGGGGGCAGAATGAGGGCATATTCGCCGCCAGCGGCCTCGGCCTCCTTGCACAGCTCAATGGTGAGCTGGATGCCGTGCTCGGATGCGCCTACAATGACGGGCACGTTTTGGTAGCCAGCCTCGTCAAGAGCCTCACGTGTGGCTCGAGTGACTGCAGTCTTCTCGGCTCGCGATAGGTGCACGGCCTCTCCGTTTGATCCCATGGTGACCAGACCGACAAGGCCGGCCTCGGCAAGTCGTACTGCGTGCTTCTTGATAACTGGAATGTCTAGCTCCTCGGTTTCTGGGTTGAAAAAAGTCATGGTAGGCGAGTAGATGCCTGGTCGGAGAGGCGTGCGTTGCTTGGTGTGGCCATTGGTGCCGTTACCGTTGGATGCCATGATTGCTACAAGGGGGAGGCGCAAATCAAATCAGGATGCACGTAAACGGCAAGGAAGAAAAGAGAGGGATATGTATATATCTGTATATGTATATGTATATACGTATAGATAGCAATGGATGGATAGCAATACAAGATTTTGGATGAAGAAAAAAAAACTAGCAGCCACCATGGCCGGGCACGGGTCTGGTCAGCTTTAATACTACAGCGAGATGGAGACAGTCGGTGCATTAGAGGCCAGAAGAGCTAGGTGCGGCAGAGCCTAATCGTGGTACCGTGGTCAATATCTCACTGATTGCGCGTCCTCGATTCGCCTGTGGCAGTGACAGCATCAGACTCCTGGGGGGGCAACGCGGTGGGCCATCTGACGGCTCTCGGGCTACATGAGCGCGAAGGGCGGGAACAGAATGCGGCCATTTGTATAGTAGTGACTAACACGGCGGCTGTCGGATGGAAACATGCTGCAGCGCAAGACAAGGTGGCATGCCAGACGCAGTCTCGCCGTCCCCCGACGTCTGCCCTGTAAATGCTACATTTATGTTCTTCCACCAATGGCGGCCGCCGTGGTCAACGTGGGGGGTTCTGTGCTTGGCCCTGGGGAAACTTTGCAAGGCCCCCCTCCCCACCACCACCCTCGCACCACTACCCGTAACCACGCACCCATTACTACGTACAACATGATTCCCCTCCGCTGACACCCAACCAGCCCCCAATGCTTGTGGGCTGACGCGGATCCTATTTGTCCGACCAGAGTCTATCATACTGCACTGTGCACAAACAGCAAAACAAAAAAACCGCCGTTGCAAGGGCCTCCTCTTTTTTTCAATACATACAGTACAGCGCATTCAGCCCCACGAACAGCACCATGGCTCTAACGTCATCCGGCCGCGGCTGTGGCCACAACATGCGCGCCCCTCGTGCCCCTCGTGCCCCTCATCGCGCTGCTTGGCGATATATCTTCCGCCATCTAGACATGCATTCAAACGCCGATGAGGCCATGTGTCGGGTATTGGTTATAGACTCCTCTTCAAATTAAGCCCTCAGCTGGTCTCCCTTTTTTGAATTCCCTCTCTTGAAATCCCGTGAACGACTGACACTGCTGGAGTTGCTGGAGTTGCTCACAATTGCCTGGTCGGACTATCCATTCCATCACCAGAACAGACATTCATCATGGCGCCGGTAGAAGTTCTCATGGTAAGTTTTGCTAGCAGTTCCTTGCCGGCAACGCGTTTTTATTTTCTCCTCCTCCTTCTCCCTCTTACCCCATCATGGCTTGCTCTCGAGCTCGTGACATGTCATGCAATACTGAAAGCTGCATGCGGCTTTATTTGTCGCCCCCTCAAGCACTTTCGTATGAGCGCAATCAAGTTAGCGAAACTATACACTAATGCATCGTCTAGGTCGGTACTGGAGAGTACACGACCGGATTCGTCGGAGGCGGTGCCTCAAAGTCTGACAAAAAGGTTGGTGTCGTAGGTTTGACACTGTTTGACCTCCGAAGACGGGGCAAGGTGGGCAAACTGTCCATGGTCGGCACATCCGGCGGCAAATTCCCTGCAATCCGTGAGTAACAATGCTGCCCCGGACTTGCATATGCCCCCAATATGCAAGGCGCTGATTTGACGTCAGGTGAGCATCTGCAAAAGAACATTTCCGAGGCATACAACAATCTGGACGTGTCTTTTGAGGAGTTTCCAAAAGAGGGCAAGACGGACCCAAATGCCTACAAGGCGGCGATTGATGCGCTTCCAAAAGGCAGTGCGAGTGAGTTACGAGTTGATAGTAGAATTACCCCTGCAATAACGCTGACGTCGGTTAGTTACAATCTTTACGCCCGACACCACTCACTACCCCATTGCCCTTTACGCCATTGAGCGTGGAATTCACGTTCTCATCACAAAGCCCGCAGTCAAATTGCTAGAACACCACCAAAAACTCCTCGAGGAAGCAAAGAAGCACAATGTATTTGTCTACATTGAGCATCACAAGCGATACGACCCTGCGTACGCTGATGCGCGCTTCAGGGCGCAGAAGTTGGGCGATTTCAACTATTTTTACTCGTACATGAGCCAGCCAAAGTATGTTTCTTTTCCGCCTTGGTTTCTTAGTTTGCCGCAGAATGTAAGCAGTATCTAATTAGACCTCCAGGAGCCAGCTAGAGACTTTCAAGGCATGGGCCGGTGTGGATTCCGACATTTCCTACTACCTGAACTCTCACCACATCGATATCAACGAGTCCATGGTTCCTGGTTGGAAGCCAGTACGCGTCATGGCGAGTGCAGCAAAGGGAATCGCTACCGGACTGGGCTGCGATCCCGCTACCGAGGATACCATCACATTGCTCACTAACTGGGTGAAGAAGGATGACCCCAGCAAAGTTGGAACTGGTGTCTACACAGCTGGCTGGGCAGCACCACAAAAGGCAGGTGTGCACTCGAATCAGTATTTCCATTACATGGCATCCACCGGAGAAATTCGTGTCAACCAGGCCAAGCGCGGTTACGACGTCACTGATGACGAGACCGGCTTGCTGTGGTACAACCCGTAAGTTTGAGTGGACACGGAGAAACCCCCGATTCGCGTACTGACCAGCTACAGATTCTACATGAAGTACGCCCCTGATGAAGAGGGCAACTTTGCAGGCCAAATTGGCTACGGATACATTTCATTTGAAAAGTTCATTGATGCTGTCAACAAGCTCAACGCGGGTGAAATCACTCTCGAAGAATTGGATGCGCGGCCACTACCAACTTTGAAGAACACCATCGCGACAACAGCCATTCTGGAGGCCGGCCGAAGATCTCTGGACGAAAACCGTCCTATCGATATCATTGAAGAAAATGGCGTCTGGTCGCTAAAGTAGATCACGCTGGTATTTAGTAAAATCCGTACTATACTGTTCATTTGAGCAGAGCTCCCACCACCGCCCGAGTGGCCTCCTTGCTCCTACTCACCCTGCTTGACTCCCAGCCATGAAACACGCAATTACTGTTTACATGTAACCCCCAGATCGGCGGCATGGTGTAGTGTATCATGGCATATTTCCCGGTCGCACTGACCCACGCGTGAATGGACTCCACTTCGACGACCAGGTTTGAGCGATCGCCGGATCTGTCAGATCCATGCTAGGGCAAGCCCTTTTAGTGTCTTTCCCATAACGTGGCGCCCTGCAGAACCCCTAGGAAGGGGCATGCGAAGATCGAAGCAAGAAAAATCCCCCCCGTTCGGGCTGTCTTTAGCCTGTTCCCGCGACCGGACTCGGGTGAATCCACTCCGACAGAACGGATAGGCTAATATACTTACTACTAGCACATCTCAGCTCCGACCGGTTTCTAGTCTCTAGTCCTGTGATCGTCTTGCATAGACCAACTGCTGTCACCCCTTCCCTAGCCCAGCCCTTGGCGAGGCAATGTCACTACCCTTGGGCTTGTCTTGTCTCAACTCCATGGACCCCCCCCCTTCCCCTTCCCGTGTGAATGCTTCTTTTTTTTCGTTCGCTAAGACCCTGAGGCGATCTTCCGACTTGACGGGAGAGGCGTAACGTCAGTGCATATGGAGAGTAGGATCCACTTTGTGCATCACACATGGTCGCCTTGGGCGTGGCCACTGTGCTGGGCGATTCCGTCGGCGTGGTTGAGGCAGTGTACTCACATACCACTCGTTCTTCCTTGCTGAGCGATGGGATCATGCGAGTCAGAGCTGCCCACGCGACAGTTGACAACCCCATTGCCCGTCCCTTTCCCACTGCTGGTTGGAAGAGAGAGAGAGAGAGCTTGGAGCAAAGCTTGATTCGACTTGCGTGATCTTTGATGTCGGCTTGCGTACGTAGTTACAAAAAAATGCCTCCCTCCCTTCACCATTCCCTTGGCTTTTCCCCCCAATAACCAAAATCTCACACTCTATAAGTAATCACTCCTGCTATGAAAGCAAAACTACACACACACACACACACACACACACACACACACACACACACACACTCCGGAGCCCAACCCCCCCACTCACTTTACGGAGAAAAAACAGTACCCCCACGAGACAATCGCACCACGAGACATACACGCCATTTCTGAAACCCACACCCCCATTTAATATACTCTCTCCCCTCCCCTCCACCCTCAGATTTAGCCGCGCGGAAGGGGGGGGTGGGGGGCGCAAGTAGACAGATACCGAAGATATTCGGGAGGTGCTGGGGGTGTTTTTTTTTCGCTTTTAAACCTCGTATATTATCATACGAGAGTGCACCCGAATTTTTCTGCACGTGCCTCTCTCTCTTTTTTTTTGGTACCTACCTCCCAGAAAGCAGGGAGTGACATTAGGGAATAAAAGAGTGCAAATTCACAGTTGTCTGGGAATTGGCCGCTTAACTTCCCTTGTTCGTTTGAAGCAAATGATAAGTTGCGAATTTATGCGATTTGGGATTGGTAATATAACCGGGGGCTGGAGTTAGGGCAATTCAAGCGTTGGATTCATCCGTTGGGGCGTTTGTGTATGTAGAGGGGGGGGCTTTAGCTAGTTGGGATAAAGTTATTAGTGTAAGTACCGTAAAGCCTAGCTAGTTCTCACGGGGCGGAGGTGGCCAGTGTCACGCTTTTTTTGTGTAATATTATTGCTGTTATGAACTTGCCGGTAAAGGAACGCAATAGATTTCTAAGTGTTTGACTTGTCTTTTTATTTCTTATTTCTTGTTTTGTTTTTTGGGGACAGCGAACGGTTATGATGAGGGAATACTTGGGAGGAAGAAGGGGAGATTTAAGTGCTAACAACCCACCGGTAGATGTGGTTGAGGATGAGCGTTATGTAGACTGTGCGGTGTGGGGGTCCGGGTCGATCGTTATTTTACAACGGCTTTTTTTGGTAGAGGGCTAGACTACTCCTTGGTCCCTTTTTTATATTTTTCGGGTGTTCTAGAGGCATTGTTTTTCCATGTCGACGCCTTGGCACATTCCTGCTGCGAGTTTCATTATCGGGTATGTCGATGACTTCATTCCACTCGTACAAGTTCAAGCATCTCAAATGAACGATGGTTATATCTTTGGATTAGGATATATGCTTTGCTAGTATCCTGATCTTGGACTTTTGTGTCTAGGAGGCGAACCACTAGTTCCCAATACATGGGTATCTAGTATCTTATCCATTTCTGAGATACCCAAACAGTATATGATAATCGGTAGATTCCGATCCAGAGAGATATTACTCAATGCTAAGAATTAATGACCACAGTCGTTTCTTTCTTCCCACGCCGTGTTGGGAGGCAACCAATCGATGATTCGAGCTATTAGCACTGCATCTATCTGATATCAAAATACTGTAACGTATGCTACCAGAAATGCTTCTCAAAACGTCACGCAAATCAATGTTAATAGTCGATCTTGGCTATTGTAGAAGCTTTCTTCTTTTCTTAACTCGTTTCCTCCCTGTCACTTCACACTTCTCACTCCACCCCTCTTTTCTCGAAATTCCAATGAGGAAAAAACATCCAATATACAATGCACATGCACAAGAAAACTCAATAGAAAAAAACACGGCTATGACTAAGTCCGCCACAAGTCTGTTCAGCAATCTCCATACTATCCATTCTACCTAGCCACACAAGAATTTCAAGGAGCAACATGCTATGTAGATGTCGAAACGCAAAGCGAAATATAAGATTTTTTGTACTCCTCTACTTGTAAAAAAGGATACACTAACGCGATGTAAAATCTCAACCTCCATCCTCACGATCTTCAATTCGACTACAACTTTGTGTCAAAGGCCAGAGCCCATGTTTATTCATATTCCCGCCGTGTTCTCTTGATAATACCTCAATGTTTGTGTGATTAAAACGAGGGTTTGTATTGGCTATTATTTATGCCACTTTAAGTGGGCCAGATGCAGTAGGTAGGTTCTTGAAATACATTCATAGGGCAACCGAAGGGGTATATGAAAAATCGTCTATGTGTTTCTGTGAAAAATACGCTGTGCGATGTATTTCTTTGAAGTTGACCGAAACAATTACAGTACAATAGTAAAACATCAGGTTCTATACATTTCCACATTGCGACGTGGGCAATCATAAAAAGCAATAGTGCATAGATCATTCTGATAACATCGGTCCAAGTTACCAGAGAGCTAAGAAGACTCGAGTGCATGCCTCCAGGTCAGATTGATATTCAACAGACTTATTAGCTTCAAACCCTATGAATGTCGAAATATAACACAACGCATCTACATAGGATTAGAGTAACCAAGATCACGTGACTTCCAGACGCAGCCTCATCAACCAAAAGCGGACAAGCACATGCACCACTAGCGCTGCACGTGAGACCCGCCAAGGCGATCGGCCTGGAACTTTTTTGATTTTCTACAAGCTCCAACATCTTGAACTATCCACCATCTTCACCGACAAATATCTCCCGGGCGAGCGAGCAGTGTAAGTCGCCTACTCACTGCGCAAGTCGCATAGGCTAATCGAGCGTAGGAATCCCCCTTCGGACGAGCTTCAGCAGTGAACCCTTCTCTCAACCCTCTACTATCTATCGCAACCTTCGAAATGGCTGAGGACAACAGCGCCGCGTGGCCCCAGGCTGACCAGGCCTTGTCGCAAGAGATTCTCGACCTTGTTCAGCAGGCTACCCACTACAGGCAGCTGAAGAAGGGTGCCAACGAAGCTACCAAGTATGCATACCCGATGCGACTGTCGAAGAGTCAAGCGCAATGACTAACAATCAGCGTTTTAGGACCCTCAACCGTGGTATCAGTGAGCTGATCATCCTCGCCGCCGACACCTCCCCTCTTGCCATCCTTCTGCACTTGCCTCTGCTATGCGAGGACAAGAACGTGCCATACGTTTACGTCCCTTCCAAGATGGCTCTCGGCCGTGCCTGTGGCGTTGCCAGGCCCGTTATCGCCGCCAGCATCACGACAAACGAAGCCTCTGTAAGTTGAAAAAACTGACAATTGCAAGGAAACCACATGTACTAACAAGATACAGGACTTGATGGGCCAGATCCGCACCCTTAAGGACAAGGTCGAGCGCCTTCAAATCTAAGTGCGGCGAGTACTATCAAACCAGCTTCCCAAATACTTTTTTGGGATGTGCGATGAGAGTGGGAGTCTACAAAACTGGAAGGTCTATGTAATGGGAAAGACACCGGAGTGCCTGGATGAAATATTGCTGGGTATATCTGTACATAGACCGAGAATGAAATGCTGAGCGAAGGTCAGCATGGACTCTGCCAAAATCAACAAGTTTACGGACTAATTTTTTCTCATGATTGAACACACCGTATAACACTTATTTACCGCCCACTATATTTGCTCGAGCTGTGTCTAACATTTACAGTGTGATATGAATTCACATTCTAAGATCCTTGCAATAAGTAACCACTGGGTATCATTTATGCATTCATCATGATAAGCTCCTTCATCGACCAGCCACCCTTCATTCACGTTATTGCATCTCAATCTCCACCTCCTTAGCCTCTGGATTGTGACTTGGCTTGCGGCTCCGACTCCGATTCTCGGCTTGCTTTTCGATAATGTTGGCCCCCAGACCTAGGCCAAGACTTGGGTCTTCAGCTGGCTTTTGTTCTGCAAGGTTCTCTGCTATTTCTCCTGTACCATTCTTTGTACTCTCCTCTGTGGGTTGCTCAGAAAGTCTAACGTCAGACTCCTTTGTAACTTCTTCCGCCTTCTCTACTGCTCCCAGGTCTACACTCAACTTTGAACTTGGCTTGACTGCTTCTTGTGCAAGCTCTTCGCTCGATCTTTCTTCAGACGGACTTGCTCCCTTACTGGCATTTGAATTTCCAGTGATGCCCAACCTCTCGAAGCTCGCTATTACTCCTTGTCTCAGGTCCTGTCCGAGTGCAGCGGCAGCATCAAGCGGTTTAGGTGTGCTAGAAGTCCTGGGAGAGCGGTCACCGACAGCATTTGTACGTGGAGGATGGACCGCCGCGCCAGCACCCGTCGCTGATTCCACCGTCTCAGTACCAGTGACAATAGGTTCATGGATAATTGGTGTGCTAGTGCCGCTTCTGTCGTGACTTGCATTGCTCGTTTGTGGCGTTAGGCTGGGAGGTGCCTGGGGACCAAAGACGTTCATCTCCTCATCAGTGCGGCCAAAACACTCAGCCCACCACCTTGCTTCACCTTTTCGGGGAAAGATCATTCTTTCCTTACCACGAACTGCGTCGTCTATTTCCGGATCATACTTGGGATTCATGAACTCTTGTTTCCGACACAGGAAATAATCCCATACGCTTCTTGTTCGCTCTTTGGCTCTCGTCTCGACACGCTCTTTCTCGTTATCGAAAAGAAAGGTGCCGTACTGGCATGAATACAAATGATACAGCAAGCGTCTCAGGAAGCGCTCATTGAACTCGAATCGTGTGGGGTGCTGATAGTGTAGTTGGTAAACGCAGTCGAGGAATTGGTGGAAGACAGGCGATAGCTCGTTGACCTTGGTGACTCGATGCTCTTCTGCCGCGCCCGTCGGTACAGTTTTTAACGGAGGGGCATCGGGGATGTCTGGAACAGTGTCCGGAAGGTTAGTTTCCGGGAGTTGATTGAGCGATTCGTTGGACTCATTATGGCGGTTGAAGAGACCTCGCGCACCCCGAAGGGCATTCTCAAACGCATTAGCAGCCCCTGGACCATCGTACTTTCGTTCGATTTTCTCGTTTTCGATGGTGAACCATTTCTCATGGCTCAAAAATCCCGACCGATGCCGAAACATGTGTCCAAAAGATAACCAGTCCTTTTCCACGAGAACGATGAAACCTTCAAGTGTCCTGTAGTATGGATCTAGCAGTATCTGACTGAGTGCACTCAGCTGGCTTGTACGATCCCATCCGTCTGAGCAGTGAATCAGGACGTGTGAATGCATGATTCCTACTGTACGAGCAATTAATGCGGTACCATCCAAGATGTTGGCTATGTGCTTGATCCAGTTACTCTTGGCTAGCAGCTGCCTGTTTGGGGGAAACGGGACTAGATCCGATTCCTTCAGAGCTTCCACCACCATATCCAAAGACTTGCGCATAACGTGGATATTGTCAATTCCAAGATAGGCCTTCTCCGCACCAGGGTAGTGGTCCATCTTCTCTGAGCCTAGTCCAACAGCCTGCATCGCGTATGCGTTCACTGTCGGTCTGGCATCGACAATCAGGTTTCGCTGTTGGGCTCCATATACTCTGGATAGATCGGCATCGGATTCTGACGAAGCGGTCAAATCGTCGACAGTGGGTTTCCCTGTGTTTTCTGACCCATCTCCTGCACCAACAAAGGAACTACTAGCACTAGATTCACTTAGGTTTACAACACTTGTATCTGGAGTGAATTCCACCGAACCAGAAGGGGTAGTTGTCGGCTTCCATCCCCGATTGGTTGCCCAGATAGCCGCCACAAGTCGCTCGTCTTGGGCATTTCGGTTTCCGCGGAGCCCAGGTGTGGGTTGTGAACTACGCGTTATGGAGCAGTTGTTAATAGGGTGACGATAGACGAGGGCAGGAATGCGTTGCCGTGAGCGGTACTCGCCAGCGTATCGGAGAACACTATCAGACACAGCGGTAGGAACAACGATCAGGGCGGGATATGTCGCGGAATACTGTGCCATTCGTCAAGAAATTTCCCAGCCACGGTTGTCGCATGACAAGTACCTTGTATTCAATATTGACTTCTGATATGCGCCAGCCCTTCTCCGTATCTTTTGAGCCGATCCCCAGACGCCTCCACTCGCGGCGTGCATCATAAATGCTCCAGCCGTCCTGTTTGTCTTCTGGAGGCTTCGGCTGGTAGCTGAAAGCCAAGAGCTTATCCAGCCTTCCGATCTTGCACGACAAGGCACGTATGCTCTCGTATACATCGCGTGCCTTCTTTTCGTCGGGGAAGAAGAAGGCAAAGAATGTGAAGTCACGGCATCGGATGCGGATCGAGGACTCCTGGCGAAGGACTGGGGGACACGGCTTGAGGACGCAGTAGTTTATCATTGGATACGTTATCCAGACTTCTTTTTGCCGCGGAGGCTTCGAGTTTGGAGGGGCATCTGCGGGAGGGCTAGGAAGGTAGCTGAAGACAAGGTGATGGGGCATGAGATGTAGCGTGCCATCAAAGCGTGTACCTCTGCGGAGAAGGTATACACCTTCCACCTGCAGTACTGGTTAGGTTGTGCAAGTCTAGACAGACTGAGGCACATACCTTGCTGATGCGTATCCGCTCCATGGCCACGATGCTGCGCGCGCGGCGGCCGGCGGGAGACGTGACTCGGGTGTTTGACCAAGATGGTGTTGGTGAGGTGAGTTGCGGGGGGTGCGATCGCTACCAAAATGAGGGGTCGTGTAACGCAGGCATCGAGGAGGGAACACAGGCGCAAACAGAAGTGTCAAACCGCCAGGGCTGCAATGACAGCTGAGAGTGCATGGCCGACATGAGCCTGTCGCCATGTGCCCGTCCCACTGCCCACTACTAGTATCTTCTTGGCTTTCAACGTCATCAGACTACTGCACAGATGCTCACACGAACACGCTTGTTTTCCGCTTGTAGCCTAATGACACGCACATGAGCTTAATTACACCGAACCTAATACACATGCGTAGAAATCACGTTGGCTCCATCATACATTAAACAAAACTCGTAGTTGCTGCTATACTAAGATAGACCCATGGTCGCTTCCTGATCAGGCAGAGCACAAATGAGACTACGTTGTATAACCTACGTAGAAATGTCCCGGCACACACGGCTTCGCCATTGAGCTTACCTGTGTCACTATATAAGGTCATATGTTAGCCACAGACTGTATTATATATATTAAACCCCAAAAGACCGCACATCAGACTGCCTACGAAGCAACATTGCAATGACCATCAGAATACTAAAACCTGTGAGTACAGATACAAAAACCGGCTAGATGCCGATCCAAAACCTATGCTACGGCTGTTGCTACGCTCACTCGTCTAAGCCGGAGGTGGCGGTGGGGGCGGGACATCGCTAGGCGGAGGAGGAGGAGGGACATCACCCGGAGGAGGCGGAGGGGGCGCGGAGCCAGATGGTGGCGGAGGCGGGGGAGGGCTTCCAGCAGAACCGTAGCTTTGGAAGAGAGGGCCAAGACCAGGGGGAGGGCCAGAGGGAGGTGGGGCAGCACCGTAGCCTGGAGCACCGGCGTAGGCACCAGGAGCACCCATTCCAGCACTCTGGTCATAGCCATAACCACCATAACCATAGCCAGCACCACCAGCACCACCAGCACCGGCAGCTGAGGCACCAGCGGCCCAGGGAGCTGCGCCGCCACTGGCGCCATAGCCCTGATCATATGACTGACCACCACGACCACCTCCACCAGCCCAAGGCGGTGGGGCAGAAGAGTGACCATCGCTACGGCCACGATCATCGTCGTTGCGCGCCCAAGGTGCAGAGCCGCCAGTAGGACCGCGCTCCCAAGGCTTGAGAGGGCGTTCTCCTCCATAATTGTCACCACCACTGGCACCATTGTTGTTGTTGTACTCGATTGCGCCACGAGGTTGTCCACCACCACCACCCATTTCGGCCATGAAAGCATCGAGCTCGTTCTCGGGAGCACCGCCAATTCTTGCAGGCTGACCACGGTCCCCGAAGCGGTTGTCGTTGCGCCAAGGCTGTCCAACCTTGCGCTCGGGACAATCGCGAGCCATGTGACCAGCTTGACCACAGACGCGGCAGATGATGCTGGCAGTGAAGTTCTGCTTCTGTGGACAGTCGTACTTGCGATGACCAATCTCTCCGCAGTTTTGACAGGCTTGGTTCTCGTCGTCACGAAGGGTACCGTTGAGGGCGGCAAGTTCGCGGAGTTGGTTGCGCTTGAGTTCGTTCTGGCCTTCAGGGATGGAAGCAGCCTGGATGTATTAGTATTATTGTAGGGTATAGGATTCAGGAAAACTTACAGTCTCGATGACATTGTGGATGAGCTTCTTCGCCTTGTTAACCTTCTCCTCGGTGTCGGCCATGATCAAGCAGTGCAGATCCTCTTCCTGGTTGCTGGTGTGAGCTGCATCCGAGCGTCCTTTACCCTCCTTCACGGAGCCCTTGCCACGGATTGCAATCTTTGCCTGGGATTCTGTCTCCATCTTTTTGAGCGTGTTTCCACGAGGGCCAATGAGTAGACCAACTGTTAGTGCAAAAAGCTGCGGTTAGTTTATGATCAAAAAAATAATGTATGAGCAAAAGGGTTAGGGTTAGTGACATAGCTATACTGCAGATGCCACTAGATGTGCATAAACATCCAGCAGTCTGAGCAGGCTGGTCAAGACAAAGGCTGGGGAAGAGCAAGATGAGAAAAGGGGAGTTAGAGGGGTTAGTTTCGTACTGAAGTTAATCTCCGGGTAATCATTGACCGGAACATAGACTTTCTCCTGTGTCTTAGTAGGGCGCCTGTAATCGGCAGGTGGATGGTAGTTAGGAAGTGTCTTCATCGCCTTCTCGACGAGCTTGTGGCGCTCATCTTCAAGGCGCTTGCGGTAGCGAAACTCGCGGGTGTTGACACGGCGACCGAAGTTGTCGTACTGCGGTGGGGGCGAGGGAGATCTGAGCCAGTCAGCCAAGGAGCGCATGGAGGGAAGAAAACAATCGGACACGTACCTATCACCATCGGCTGGAACAACATCATTGATCTTCAGCTTCTGGGTGATTTCCTCAATTCGCAGATGCAAAGTATACGCGTCAAGCTGCTCAGTAGTCATGGCGGAATAGATGGCTGTAGGCAGCCCCATCAGGCCGGCAGCCTTGTTCTCGCTCGCGTCGCCCCATCGGTTTCGCTTCTTGCGCTGTCGCGGAGCATCGGAACCTAGAATGAGCATGTTAGAGGGCATCGTAGGTACGTGTGGGAATTGACTTACTGCGTTCTGGGCTGCGACCGCGCTTCAGCTCGGACAGGCCCTCTGCGGGTGCTGAGGGATTGTAACCGCCATCATCGTCGCCACCGCCGAACCGACGGCGAGTTCCTAGAGGAATGTTGTTAGAACCGGTAATTCCTTGGTTGCGCCACGACATGTTTGCGGGTGCTGCAAGAGATTCTTGGTGAGGTGTTAAAGAGTCGAGGCAGCCTTTGCGATGGGGCGAATGCATTGGCGAGTCTCACGTGTGGCGCTAGTGCCAGGATGAGCGTAGCGTCAAGCGGGTGTCCCAGATGTACAGCTCTTCGCCAACCGTCGTCACCACTCCTCGACATCACATACGCCCCCGTCGCCACATCCACTGCACGCGTTCATCTCAAGAAAGATCTCCAAACCATTCCAGACGACTCGTCGATTACATAAATCACCGCAACTATGTCGACTGAACTCTGGTGAGTCCTTGCGGAGCTCCCTTGTCTATGATGCAGGCAGCTTCTAGCTTGCCTCTTAGGCATAAGCTGGACCTGCTATTATCATCAGCGTAGCGGAGAAGCTTCTGTTATGACGAATATGAAGAACTTAAGCTAACAAAGCTTCTATAGCCCTGCCTATGCTGTAAGTACTCGAGTACCAACCTCCGCTCCGCCTCCCGACGGACGCGACCAGAACCGCGACGACACTGCTTCCATCGCCGCAAAGCGATGCGACAACGTTGCTTCCATCGTCGTAAAACGATGCGACGACTATCGTGCGATATTGCAGGACTTGGGCTAATGATCAATAGCCCTTCTTCGGCGCGATGGGCTGCACGTCAGCTATCGTCTTCGCCTGCTTCGGCGCCGCCTACGGAACTGCCAAAGCCGGTGTTGGTGTTTCCGCCATGGGTGTCCTCCGCCCTGACCTGATCGTCAAGAGTACGTTACGCGCTATGCGAACCTGATCGCGAACTTTCATATTGCATGAATGCAGCTAACAGGTACTTTAGATATTATTCCCGTCGTCATGGCTGGTATCATTGGTATCTACGGTCTCGTCGTGTCCGTGCTTATCTCCAACGGCTTGAGCCAGCACTCTTCGCTGTTCACCAACTTCATTCAACTCGGCGCTGGTCTTTCCGTCGGTCTGTCGGGTATGGCGGCTGGTTTCGCCATCGGTATTGTCGGTGACGCTGGTGTACGAGGAACTGCCCAGCAGCCCAGGTTGTTCGTCGGAATGATCCTGATTCTTATTTTCGCTGAAGTCTTGGGTACGTTACGTTCCATCAGATTCTGTATGAAGTCCGTTACTAATGCGCGCTTAGGTCTTTACGGACTCATCGTTGCCCTGCTCATGAACTCCAAGGCTGGTGGTGCCGATGAGTGCTAGACGATCACATAGCCTACGATTGCAGACGCGATACGACAACATTTATCTGCAAGAGACAAGTATTGGCATTGATTCATCGAGTGCGACGATATGTTCTGTGTGCATAGCGCGCACAACTGACATGTGCGGCATGTTGTAAGTGTGCTATATGTATCTCTTTGGAAGAACGGACAAAGACTGCTTCTACGACAAGGGAGCGAGAGGGGGGTAAATAATGGCACGGGCTGGCGTGCATTTGGCAATCCATTTGACGGCGTGTATTCTAGGGTCTCATCAATTTCATTCTGCGCTTGTAAACAAAATGTATCTGTCTTGTTGCTGTCCTGGTTTTGTAACGTGAGTTGCAACATGTGTACTTGAAGAGTCCCAACATGAATGTTGATCACAATGATGCAAATGTAATCAAGGCAACCTAGAATTAAGGTATATTGCGTAGACTGCAATTCCTTGTTTTACTTGGAGATGTTTGTACACTGACATGATCCGTTGGATAGTATATCGCTAGATATGAGACGAGAGGACAAACCAGTAAGAGTGAAGATGCGTAATGATGTATTGTGCGTGTGTGCATCGTAGAAACATTTACATACCTGTATCGTCTAGCGCTTCCGACCTTGTACACAACCTGAGCAAGCTTCCTCGTCCTGCTTGATAAAAACGCCGCCGTGATAAACCCAACCAACCAACAACACCACTAATGCAAACAAGCGTGTACTTTGCCGTTTCAGTCGTCATTGCCAGCTCTCTTTGACTTGGCCGCTTGCATCTTTCCAAGTATAGTCTTGCTCTTTGCCTTGCCCTCGACATGCTCGGCGCTACTAAGACTGCTGTAGAATGACCGCACCTTTTCGTGAGCAATCACCTTTCTCGGGTCGAAGCGAAGGATCTGTAGACCGGCCATACTTGTTGCACGAGAAAGCGCGACATAGGCCTGGCCCTTTTCGAAGACGCGGCCAAGATCAACACGGACGCGCTCGAGGGTTTGGCCTTGGGCTTTGTGGATGGATAGAGCCCACGCGAGGATGAGTGGGATTTGCGATCGTGATGCTTGGACTTCGCCGTTGGGCAATTCGATCTTCCAATCTTCGCGCTTGCATAACAAATCGCGCGTTGTGCCATCTGCAATGGCAAACCGTACAACGGGGTACACTTGGTTGGTGTTGAGCCCAAGTGAGCTTTTGGCCATCTCCGTCTTCAAGGCAGCGTCTGAAGGCCCATTTTCAAGAAAACCTTCCTCATCTTCTTTGTAGACGTTGAACATTTGCTCTGTCATGAATCCTGTTATCTTGCCTAGTGATCCGTTGACTAGCGTTTCGTCCATGTTTTTAACCAACATAACTTGTGCGCCCTTCTTCAGATGTATTTGCTCTGGAACCATGCAGCTCTGGAGAAGCCTATCTCTTTGTTCCTTGTTGGTAATAGTGCCGCCATCTCGAGCCTCGAATGTGAACGTATTTCCATGCAATTGATGCATGCGTGTAGTGTTGGCGCGATCAACTTCCTGGCGTGTAGGAAAAAGTTCAGTTGCTTCAACGCTTTGATCTTCTGTTGGTAGTGGACGTTCTAGCTGCTTGAAACGAGATATCGACTCTGGTGTCAGTCGACCCTCTCGCATTTCATTGAGCATGCCCGCAAATACTGGGTCCTTTTGACGGAAGACATGAGTCAAACCAATCGTGTGCTCAATGCTTGTAGTCCATGTGCCTGCGTCAAATGCAAACTTGGCTTGCTTGCCGAACTCCGGTACTGGAGGCAATTGAAAGAAATCGCCTGTAATGACAAGTTGAATGCCACCGAACGGCCTGCCGTTGTTGCGAATTGTCCGTGCAATCGACTCGAGCTTGTCAAACAGATCGCCATCCACCATGGAAACTTCATCCATGATGAGAACTTTGGTACGCATCCATCGTTGCTTGGCTTTCGCGTTCCGTCGAATCTTCTTGACGAGATCTTCAACTGGCTCTTTACCAAGTCCAATCCCCGCAAAACTGTGGAGAGTAACACCGCCAATGTTGCATGCTGCCAGACCCGTTGATGCTGTAACAGCGACTCGATCAGGCTCGCGGGCATATTTCTTCCGCAAGCCTGTGATGATCTCACGAAGTAGGACAGATTTACCAGTACCTGGTGCGGTCAGTGGATGAGTCGATACAAGGAACGTATATTTTGCACATACCAGCAGAACCAGTGAAGAAGACACTCTTTTTGTAGTCTACTACGAGCTTGAGCACATTTTGCTGCTCCTCACTGAGAAATATGCGGGCCACGGTATTCTTCTTCTTCGTCTTGATAACCTCCTTGACGCCACCATCAGTCCCTTGAGTCGGCTTTGCTTGTGCTTTCATATTTTCTCTGAATGCTTTCTGCTGTTGCTTCAACCCACTGGGAGTTGTGTTCCAATAATACTTTGAATTTGAATCCTTCGGTGCTGGTGTCGATACTGTCTTTTCGGGTTCGACTGATTGCTTCTTCTTTGGAGGTTCGACTTCGTCCTCCTCGTCCTCCTCTTGCAAGGGCTGAGCCTTTTGAGACTGTTCCCACGGTAGCGTTCTTCGCTTTACCCTCAACGGTTCGGATTTCTTGGGTGTTTTGAAATGTTCTATTGGGGAAGATGACCATGGTATTGGCTGGCTACTGTCTACCTCCGATTTGGTGTCTGCAGTTTGTGCCCTTGAATTGTATCCGGAGTCTCCTGAGATGGTCGAGGGTGCACTGGGTAATGTAGGGTATGTGACGGTGCCTTTAGTCGCGGGGTCCTCTACGTCGAGATCCACGTCGCTGTCGAAATCGTCTTCGTCAAACAAGGCAGTCTCAAGAATTCCAGAGCCAGTGCTAGGTGCGTGGAGAGCGGCAGGAAGTTCGTTCTCTTTGTCCATGCCTCCAATGCTGAGTGAAGGGTACTCAAATTCGCCATCATGTGAACTCAGTGACTTGGACAGGCCACTTGAAGTCCTCTTAGTACCTTGTGTTGTGGGACCCGATACTCGTTGTTGCCCCACAATATTATTCTGCTTCGCTCCATATCCTAGGGTGCGCGCGGATGATGTTTGTGTTGACCCGGTTCGGCTGAAGGCATTGCCGAGTGAGGCTTGTTTACATGCATCATTTGACGGCGAGGACGACGCGATGGCATCGTGTGCCTGTACGGCTTGTTTGAACATGGTCCTTTTTGTGTGTAGGCGATTGAAGAGACTGCCGCTGTGAATGTGGGGGGCAAAGCTGGACAGGCTACTCGGAAGACTGTCTGCCTGGAATGGTGGTGAGGTCGAAGGGCGCGCGCGAGGAGGGTGCGTCAGGTACGGGCGGGTATGGGGCAAGTGCGCCCGCGCGGGCTGTACAAGGAAGAAGAGCGGCGAATCTTTTGGCTTGGACGGTTTAAGCGACGCACCTCTCCTAACAAGGGAAGAAAGCATGCAGCAAAGTAAATATGGCGCAGACAAAAGAAAAGAAGAATGGTTTGGTATTGGTGTCGAGGGTGAGCATGCCTTTCACGGCACGGTGGGGTGGGATTGTTCCTGTAGCCTTAGTGCAGCCGGCCCACAAAACGCGACCATTTGACGCGACTTTCGGATAGAAGTGCGCTAGTATCGTGATCACGTGCCCATCATACCAATACTCGCGACATACGTAAGTAGTTGCACTAAGAGGTGCTTGGCAAACATACGACGGAGTCGTGGCAGGGAAGATTTATGATAGTCTCAGTCTCAACTTTTTGGCCTGGGTCTTGTAAAACGATGCACATCTGGATCGAATGATTGGTAGTCAGCGTTGCTTTCACCGCAGGAAAGAGCTGTTCGTTTTCGACACTGTCGATTGATATTGGTATTCATACAAGTAGCTGGAATGCAGCCCTCACGTTTCCAAATTCTCCATTCCGCCAGGGATCTTTTGAAAATGACTTCGCACATCATTCTCCCACATTGATACTCGGCGCGCCCCGCGTATGCCGTTTTGAAGAGACAATGCAGTCTAAACCGAAGAAGAAGAACATGATATAACAACAATCATCAAAAGCCCACCGACCACCGAAAACAGTTAGAGGGAGCCGTCATGACTAAAGAGTGCGCCGCAAAGAGAAGAGGAATTCGCTTTTGGTAACCATAACAAGATTCAAACATCATCGTGGGTAGTGAAGAGGCAAATGTGAAATAAGCCGAAGCTCGCATCAAAGGAAATGCTAACATGAGAAAGGAGATTCATTTTGAACCACACAAACGACCGTAGATCATATCCCACAAGAAATATACCGTAGGGTAGCCGACCATGCCGGCAGACAACAACCCTCACACCTTTTTGGACAACGGGACTAAAATGACGACTTGCCTAAGAACATGAGACCAGATAGCTGATGAAATGTGACCTGAAAATCGGAGCTATCCAAACAAAAGCGCCCTCGTAAACAACAACTGGGCGTGTCGAAAGAATAGGTGGCGCGGCGCTGAACAAAAAAAGTTTGAGCAAGGAGGGTCTTTAGCCCTGGTATCCCCCAAAGCCGTTCTGGCTAAAGGCAGCTTGGGGAGACTGGCCCCACTGTGGCTGCTGGGGGGCGCCGCGGCCGTAGCCACCAGCGCTGCCCGGCTGCTGCATTTGCTGCTGGAACGGCATGCCAGGGTTACCAAAGGCTTGTTGCTGCTGCTGCGCGAAAGGTGCTCCGCCGGGGCTGGGTCCTGCCCGCGCATTAGATTGCTTGTTTCGATACTGCAGCTTCCTCCGGTGCCGCTCACCTGAGGGTGACATGGGCCCACCTTGTGGCCCACCACCATACTGCGGAAAGTACGCACTCGGCGTCTGGGGGTAAGCTGAGTTAGGGCCGCCCGCAGGCGAGTAACCCTCAAACTGGCCAGTCGGAGGACGGTCTTTGCCCCACTAGATTTACAAATGTGAGCAAACAGTTAAGGAAAAGGGAGACGCGAGTCAACCTACGCTGCACTTTAAGGGGCGGCCATTGACGTTGTAGCCGTTGAGCTGGCAGATGGCCATGGCAGCGTTCTCATGCGTGT